CCACATACTTTTGTCACCTCTACAGCGAGTAAGTTTTTTTTTTGTTACAGTAAATCATGATACAAATAAATACTCTAGCGAACGTTAATTCTAACTAATCCAACTAATCCACATACTTTTGTCACCTCTACAGCGAGTAAGTTTTTTTTTTGTTACAGTAAACCATGATACAAATAAATACTCTAACGAACGCACCTCTACAGCGTGTAAGTTTTTTTTTTTTTGTTACAGTAAATCATGATACAAATAAATACACTAACGAACGTTAATTCTAACTAATCCACATACTTTTGTCACCTCTACAGCTAGTAAGTTTTTTTTGTTTCAGTAAATCATGATACAAATAAATACTCTAACGAAAGTTAATTCTAACTAATCCATACTTTTGTCACTTCTACAGCAAGTAAGAATTTTTTTGCATTGCAGTAAATCGCTATACAATCAATACACTAAGAATAATTCTAATAGTAATTTATTTTCAATTAACCTATGATAGATTGTATGTATTAGCTGTTTTAAATCGTAGCATTTAATATATTATTTACTTATTCAATGTTAAGATTTCGAGATGAATTTCGTAATTGGACAAGTGGCAATCCTGACATTGATGAATTCATTAAACAAACTCAACTTAATGCGAAGAAATTTAAAGACATTATCGAATGGATACCGTTTAGTAAATTTACAAATATAAAGTATCTTGCTAAAGGAGGATTCGGCACTGTTTTTAAGGCACTATGGACTGACGGATTTATTAAGGGATTTGATAATCAAAAGAATGTATGGAAACGAAGTGTACAAACAAATGTTTGCTTAAAAGGGCTTGATAATTCTAAAGATATAAAACAAGAATTTTTAAATGAAGTATATATTATATAGTTTATTATCATTATTTTATTATTATTATTCAAGTTCTATTTACCCTAATTAATATTTAGATTAAAAATCAACATAAACATGGAGGTGATTTAGCAATTAAAATTTATGGAATAACTAGGAATCCTAATGATGATAATTATATGATGGTGATGAAGTTCGCAAAACAGGGAAGTCTCCGAAAATTATTAGATAGCAAATATAATGATTTAAATTGGAGTTGTAAAGTTGCTATCTTATATTACATTGCTGATGGGCTTAATGCAATCCACAAAGCTGATTTAATGCATAAAGATTTTCATTCTGGAAATGTAGTTAACGAAAATATGTTTAGTTCCTATATTACTGATTTCGGATTGTGTAAGCCAGTGTCTCAAGATTCAAGCACTGAAGGGATTTTTGGTGTAATTCCTTACATTGCTCCAGAAGTATTATATACGGGCGGAAAAGAGTACACTCAAAAATCAGATATTTATTCTTTTGGAATTATCATGTCAGAAGTTTTTCTGGGTATCCTCCATACCATGATATTCCGCATGATGAACATTTAGTAAGAAAAGTTTGCTTAGGCCATAGACCCGAAATTAAATGTGATGTTCCTCAACTACTTTTGGATTTGATGAATAAATGTTTAGACGCTGAACCTCAAAATAGACCAACTGCCAGTGAATTAGCTAGTTCACTGAAAAAAATTTTTTATCAAGCCAAAGAAATTAAAGAGCCAGTCAAAAATCCAAATCAAGTCATATCAACACGACTCAATTACCAGACGCATAAACAAGCTATTTATACAAGTCGGCTTTTGAGCTATCAAAATCTTCCTAAACCAATAAATGCCAATCCAGGTGAGAATATTACCCAATCAAAATATTTTTTTAAAGTATTATTTTTTATATTTATTAACTCTTGAACTTGGTTTAGTAAGCAAATCTGTTGAACGCCCAAATTTTGACTAATAACTTTTAAATATTTGCTAGTATTGTGATGAAATAATTTAGAATTTTTTCTAAATAAGTATATTTAATAAAGAGTATTGATCTTACCACTCCCCACTTTACTAATGCCACCCACATGACCTAGCCGACCTTCGGTTTGCATCGCATGACCCAACGAAAATCTCACGTGTATGTGTAAATTTTAGATCGGCCAAAATTCCGCGGAATCTATGGACAGTGCTTAGAGACATTGCAATCACATGATATGATATGAAATCCTTTCCCCTAACCGCTAAATAACCAATAACAACTTAAACACGTGATTTTGCACTGATTCTAAGCACTGTCCGTAGATTTCCCGCCAAAATTCTGGCAACACAAATATATGTCACGTGATCAGTACAACTAAATGTTGGATGAAATGTATATTCAATTAAAGTGAATATTCGGTTATACAAAACTTGTGAATAATTATAAATTATATCATGAATATTTAACAAATATTTGTATAAATATTCTAAAAGATTATTTGTGCAAATATCTGTATATACATTCAACAAATATTTGTATGAATATTCAACAAATATCTGTTTAAATATTTGATGAATTTTATATAAATATTTGACAAATATCTGTATATAAATTAGAGCTTATATAGCATTTCTGGTGAACTATAGTTTAGCATGTATTACTATATTTAATAGTCATAATGTGATATCATCGAATTGATAATATGCTGTAAAATATAATGCATTTATAAATGTATTTCATAGTTTTTTTTGTTTACTTTATGTCATATAAATTTAAATAAATATGTTTTAATTAAATCTTTATTTCAATTTTGTAAGACAATCTGTAACTTTATATTATTTTATAATTCTTCTATAGTATTCATATATGTATTTGTTTTAGAATCTATAAAATTTTCTAAATGATTAACAGTATTATGTTTAAAATTTAGTTCTTCATTATTTAGATAACTTTTTCAATAATCTATATAAATAATAAAACTTTTTAACATATTTATCTAATTGTTTTCTCATTATATTCTTTTATCTTTATTAAAAAATATTATTATTATTATTTTTTTAATATTAATGGTAAGGCCATACCTCTATCTTTATTGAATATTTATTTGAAATTTTTACATAAAATATAAATTTACTATTAAAAATATTATAAAAAGAGTAGAAGCTCAGACTAGTTTATCAGTGACCTAAACCAACAGGAGTGGCCAAGGCTCATCTAGATTTGGTTGTTAGTAATTATATATGAAGGATTAGTTTGATATTTGATTTATTGTATATACTAGGAGTAAATTTTAAGATGAATTGAATTAGAAAGGGAAGATTGAGATGAATATGAAATAGAATTTAAGGGTGAGTTAAAAGTAAGAGGATGAGATATTGATCTTGAGATACAGTAAGGAATCCAAATTTTATAATATATTTGTTGATTAAGATGAAGTAAAAATTTGATAACAAGTATTGTAGCTAATTTTTTAGATGATAAGTCTAAGATAGTAGAGATTATTTCATGTGGCACTAAGCCAGATAAGGTTGAAAGGACTGATGGTAGGTCTACTTTGTTGTGTGTAGTCATACAATACAGTTGTTTAATTTGGCAATGTAGTTTTGTTATTGTTTCAGAAGTGGTGTCAAGTGTATTTGTATTTAGAATATGTTGTAAGGAGGTGTCAATAAGGTTATATAGCAGCTGGTCAGATGGACATGTTATCCAGTGGAGGTAAAAACTGGTTTCATGTCATTGATGACAGGTTGGTGGGTATGAGTGATATCATTTGTGAAGAATATGTGGAGTAGGAAGGTCATTAAGTAGAATTTTAATTCTAAAAGATTTAAGAATAGAAGATTGAAAGCTATATGAGAAGTTTGAGATTTTTTGATTGTTATTAATATATAGCCAAGTGGCTTGCCAATTAATTTGGTTAAAGATTTTGT